CTGAGGATTAGCACACCTATTCTCTTCGGACTGCACGTTGCTGAGAAGACTAGATGGGTAACCACAGAGGACATATTTCATATGCTCCACTCACTACAACACAACTTCCTGAACTACCAGAAGGACACCACTATCGTGAGACTTACAGAGAAAAAGAGACTCAGTGTATTGAGATAGATAGATAGATAGATAGATAGATAGATAGATAGATAGGGTGTGTGTGTGTGTGTGTGTGTGTAGGCGCGCATGTGCATGCATGTGTGCGGGCGCACATCAGCCCTAAGGCTTGAACTCCAGACCTTGGTGCTGTCCCTGAGGCTGCTTTTTTGCTGAAGGCTATACTGGCATATATTTAAAAAAAATATTCCCCAGAAGTGGTGCTGTGGCTCAAGTGGTAGGGTACTCCTTGAGCTGAAGAGCTCAGGGACAGTGCCTAGGCCCAGAATTCAAGCACCATGACTGACAAAATAAATAAATAAATAAATAAAATAAATTTTTAAAATTTCCCAACAAGCCTATGGATTGCAATTCTGTTATTATAGCAATCTAAATATGAGTTTTTTGTTTTAGTATGTTGAGAATATACTGTAACTTTACACATAGCAATACACATTGTGTTCAAAATGTTCCCAAATTATATTCATGTCACTGTCATTTGCAGTTTGTCCAACTGAATATACAATGATGAGAGCCATATCCAGTCTGTCACAGACACTCAGCTCTGTCACTGTGGTATAAAAATACCCAAATATAAGGTTTGAACATAGCCACTGTGGCTATATTCCAAGAGAATTTTGTTTGTGAACAAATTTGAATTTTATATAAATTTCATGTTAAACAATACTATTACTTAAATTTCTTTTCTTTTCTTTTTTTTTTTTTGGTCCGGTCATGGGGCCTGAACTTTGGGCCTGGGCACTGTCCCTCAGCTCTTCAGCTCAAGGCTAGCGCTCTACCACTTGAGCCACAGAGCCACTTCCGGCTTTTTTCTTTTTGCTTATATGGTGCTGAGGAATCAAACCCAGGGCTTTGAGCATGCAAGGTGAGCGCTCTACCACTGAGCCACCTTCCCAGCCCCTACTTAAATTTCTTAAGCTATTCAAAATGTGAAAACTAAGCTGGGTGCTAGTGGCTCACGCCTGTAATCCTAGCTACTCAGGAGGCTGAGATCTGAGGATCAGTTCAAAGTTACCCCCGGCAGGAAAGTCCATGAGACTCTTATGTCAAATAAACCACCAGAAAACCAGAAGTGGCGCTGTGGCACAAGTGGTAGAACACTTGCCTTGAGCTGAAGAGGGACAGTGCCCAGGCCCAGAGTTCAAGCCCCATGAATGACCAAAAAAAAAAAAAAAAAGTGAGAACTATTCTTAACTCACAGGTCTCCTGTTAACAGGCCAGATATCACCCATATACATGACTCCCAATTTAAGAAGAAACAGGAAGAATTTGATTCATTTTATATAACATGTAGCATCAGCCACATTTTTAGTGAATAATGCTACATTATTGTTTAAGAAAGATGAAGAGAGATGATAAGGCTTAAATGATAATGTGTCTGCAAAAATCAAGTGAAGTCTTAGGTGTGGGATGAGTAATAGTCATGTTGAAATAAATATCACATTTGTTCATCTCTTATTCTTTTTGAGGGGAGGGGCTTGAACTCAGGTTCTAGGCACTGTTCCTGAGCTTTTCTGTTTACAACTATCTCTTGCCACTTGAGCCACAGCTCTACTTCCTGCTTTCTTATCTAGGCTGGCTTTGAACCATGATCCCTAGATCTCAGCCTCCTGAGTAGGTAGGATTACAAGTGTGAGCCACCTGAGCCAAGTGGCCATCTCATTTTCTTAAGTTATATTATAAATTAAGACACTTAAATATTTTTGGATGAAGTTTATAAATTACTGTTATCTCAGTCTAGTTACTTTTTTTTTTTTTTTGCCAGTTCTGGGGCTTGAGCTCAGGGCCTGGGTATTGTCTCTGAACTTCTTTTGCTCAAGGCTAGCTACAGTGTCACTTCTGGCTTTTTCTCCGTATGTGGTAACTGAGGGATCAAACCCAGGGTTTCATGCATGCTAGCGAGCACTCTCTCACTAAGCCACATTCCCCACCCTCTAATTACATTTTTTACATATAGAAAAATGTTGAGGTTCTAACTGGTCTCAAGAAAATATGTTCTTCTTTGAAAAATGAGGTGAATTAAAAAAGTGATTTTTATATCATAAAATGCATCCAGTAAAATATTTATCATGATTGTTCTTTTTAACACACATCTTCCTTGAGAGAATAGGGTTTTTTAATGACAGTAATATTGAGTCAGAAACATCTTAAGGGGGCTGGGAAGGCGGCTCAGTGGTAGAGCGCTTGCCTTGCATGCCTGAGGCCCTGGGTTCGATTCCTCAGCACCACATAAGAAAAAAGAAAAAAGCCGGAAATGGCGCTGTGGCTCAAGTGGTAGAGCGCTAGCCTTGAGCTGAAGAGCTGAGGGACAGTGCCCAGGCCCAGAGTTCAGGCCCCACGACCAGACCTTCTCCCCCCCCCCCCCCAAAAAAAGAAACATCTTAAGAATATTCAGTAAAAGTAAGGTTAAAATGCAACAGTGTACAGAGAAGTAAGGGTAAAATATTGCCAAGTAACTAAGAATAGAGTGCACTTGAATCATCTCTTTCAGGCCTGGGTGCTGTCCCTCAGCTTTTTCACTCCAGGCTGACACTCTACTTGAGCCCTAAGTCCACTTCTGGCTTTCTCTCTCTCTCCTCTCTCTCCTCTCTCTCTCTCTCTCTCTCTCTCTCTCTCTCTCTCTCTCTCTCTCTCTCTCTCTCTCTCTCCCTCCCCCTCCCTCCCTCCCTCCCTCCCTCCCTCCCTCCCCCCTGGTCCTGGGGCTTTGGTGCTGACCCTGAGCTTCTTTTGCTCAAGGTGAACACTCTACCACTTGAGTCATAGCACCACTCCTGCTTTTTTGAATAGTTTATTGATAAGAGTCTCAGGGTTTCCTGCCTGGGCTGGCTTCAAACTGCAATCCTCAAATCTCAACCTCCTGAGGTAGCTAAGATTAATGTATGAACCACCGGCACCTGGCTTCACTTCTAGCTTTTTGGTGGTTAATTGGTGATAAGAGACTTACACACATTGATCCTTGATCCTCAGATTTCAGCCCCCCTCAGTAGGTAGAATTACAGCGTGAGCTGCCAGGGGTTGGCCCTTTCACCATTTAAGATGTACGACTAGGAGTCTGGGGGAAAGGCTAAAATTGTAGAGCCTGCCTAACAAATGTGAGTGCAAGGTACTAAATTCAAAACCTAGTACCACTAAATGATAATGTTTAGAAATGAGCTATCCGCTATTTGCTCTACTTTTTTATGTTGCTAGTATGTACTTTACAAACATTAGAATATGCCCTGTTAAGGCCATCCTAAATTGATCCCAATTTTTACAACTATATAAAACAGGAAATGTTAACCCTCACACTTTGGCTACCTAGCTCAATTATATTTAAATGTTTACGTAAATAAAAGTTAGAATTGGTAAAGAACATATATTCTTGTTCTGCTCTATTTTAAGTTTTAATCATTCTCATAATGTGTTGTGTGTTTGTGTATGTGTATATACAAACCCTTACCATTATAATTTTTCATTATTGAAAATGTCCTGAAACTTCAGTATATTTGTATTTGGTTCATCAAGGCTTTTTTGGATATGCACCAAGAAATATGCAAAGTATAAAAACAGGATGATGAGGAAAGCTGGCTGTGTGCTTTCAACTCACTTACTTGTGGGGGAAGGTAGTGAGGGACAGAATGTGAGGAGTAAAATGTGGAAAGTGTGATCAGGGAAGAGGGGGCCCCAGATATTTATTTCTCTAAAGTATGAGTAGATAGTCATTAAAATATTAAAATCGGTTTAATAATGGGTGTCATGGGCTTTAGTGCTATGATTTGTGATGTTGTAGGTGATTACATTCCCAAACATACCTAGAAAGTCTTTTTCCCAGGGCTTGAACTCAGGGCCTAAGTTCTGTCTCTGAGTCTTTGTGCTCAAGGGTAGCACTGTGCCACTTGAGCCACAGCACCACTTCTAGCTTTTTCTGAGTAGTTTATTAGAGATAAGGGTCTCACAGACTTTCCTGCCCAGGGTGGCCTTGAACAGTGATCCTCAGATAGCAGTCTCTTGAGTAGCTAGGATTAGAAGCATGAGCCACCAGCACCCACGTACCTAAAGATTTTTGTTACCCCTTTTTTTGAACATTCTTTTTTGTTCTGTTAAGAACAGAAGATGTTCTGATAATACCTAAGCGAGTTTGTTGTTGTTGTTGTTTGTTTGTTTGTTTGTTTTTTGTTAGAGCCCCTTCAGGATATACAATTTTTTTATTTTATTTTTTTCGGTCGTGGGGCTTGAACTCTGGACCTGAGCGCTGTCCCTCAGCTCTTAGCTCAAGGTGAGTGCTCTACCGCTTGAGCCACAGCACCACTTCCGGTTTTTCTGGTGGTTAATTGGAGATAAGAGTCTCACGGAGTTTCCTGCTTGGGCTGGCTTTGAACCACAATCCTCAGATCTCAGCCTCCTGAGTAGCTGGGATTACAGGCATGAGCCACTAGCACCCACCTTTCCCCCTCCCATTTTTTTTCTTCTGTGCCATGCTTTTTCATTCTAGTTTGTGGAAATCTGATCACCCAGTGATGTTGACTGTACATTTATGAGTCTTGGCTGATAATCTTGGCTGACATCTTGTGAAAATGAAGTTTGCCTCTCTAAGAATGTGGCATCATGGGTGCTCCAGTGACACCAATTTCTAGGATGAACTGGATTCAGAGGAGCTCAGCTGTACTAGATTTCCAGTCATGATGTGGTATTTATCCCTATTTAATTTTTCTCAAGTATAGATGTTTGAAATGTATTTCACTTATATTGACAGAATGGGTGTAGTGTTTTATCCTTAACAGCATCTATAGTTGCGATGACACATAAAAATTTTTGAATCAAGTGCTCAATTATTTCCTTTGCAGTGGTGGTTCTGTGTATAACTTGTATACAGATGAGGATGAAGAAGCTGAGCCTTCTCCTTCAGGGCAACAGATCATTGAAAATTCAATCACCATGAACAAGATGAAGCTGCTGAAGGCGAAGATGGAGAACATGAACCTCAGCAAGAAGGTGACACTGTTGGCATTTGGTCAGGGTTTCTCTAGCTTACCCAGAAGAACTTACGGCAGGGAAGTATTCAGAGGTACAAGGGTGTCTCATTTCATGTTATCAGTCAAGACTCATTATTGATATAAAGAGGATCCTTTGGGCTTTGGTGGGCAGCAGCACATCTGAAAGAATTACATAGCATTTTTAAGTAGTTCAGTTTTTTCTTTGTGCTGGTGGTATCGCCTGCTCTCAGGGTCTTGTGCTGGCCTTACCTTTTCACTCAAGGCTGGCACTCTACTGAGAGGTGAGGCACAGGCCCACTGCTAATCTTTGGGTGGTTAGTTGGAGATGAATCTCTTGGATTGTTTTCTAGGCTGGCTTTGAACCGGAATCCTCAGATCTCAGCCTCCTGAGCAGTTAGGATTACAGGAGTAAGCTAGAGCTAAGAAAGATAAAAAAAAAAAAAAGTAACTTATGCTGGTAATAGTAATTTTTAAATGCTATTTTCATATTTAATGTGGAGAATAGCAGTTTAGCTTTAGTAGACATTGATAGTTTATCTAAAGTCACTTCAAAGTGATTAAACCAATTTGTACTCTTTCCTGCATTGAATGAGATTGAGATTTCAGACTTTCCACAGTCTTACCCTCTAATTGACACAGTTCTCCTTTTTAAGTTTTTACCATTGTGATTGGTATGCAGTCATTTTTCTTTTGGGTTTTTGTTTTTTCTGGATATAAGTCCTTTGTTTCAAACATACATGTATGAGTATGTATATATACATGTGTATATACATATGTATACATGTGTATATATACATATATGTGCATACAAATATATAACCAGTCTATTTCTTTCATTCTGTTAGTGGCTTACTCCCTTTCCTCTGTAATAAAAGTCACAAATATTTAATGTATCACTTAATGAATTCTAATTACCTACACTTGTTTAGACATAATACAAGTTTAGAAGGTTCTTTTATAATCTTTCCCAATCAATAACTACTTTTCCCTCCTTCTAGAAGTAACTACCATTTTAACATCTGTTACCATAAGTAAGTTGCCTATTTGGGAACTTAAATAAGTATTATTACAAAGAAAATACTCCTCATTTTGGTCTGGTAAATTTTTGTTCAGCATAATTTTTAAAAATTCATCTATGGCCAGGTGTCAGTGGCTCACACATGGATCCTAGCTACTTAAGAGGCTGAGATCTGAAGACTGCAGTACAATCCAGCCTGAGCAGGAAAGTCCATGAGACCCTTATCTCCAATTAACTACAAAAAAGCCAGAAGTGGAGTTGTGGCTCAAGTGATAGATCACTAGTCTTATGGAAATAAAACAAAAAATAACCCTCAGGAACAGCACATAGGCCCTTGAGTTCAAGCCCCAGGACTGGCACAAAAAAATAAATAAACAATATAAAAGTCTGAGCTGTTACACATAGCCATTAATTATCTTTTTATTGATATATACACCTTTATTTATTTACTTAATTATTGATTTTGTCAGTTGTGGGACCTGAACTCTGGGCCTGGGCGCTGTCCCTCAGCTCTACAGGGCTAGCACTCTACCACTTGAGCCACAGCGCCACTTCCAGCTTTTTTTCTGCTTATGTGGTGTTGAGAAATCGAACCCAGGGCCTCAGGCATGCACTGAACCACCTTCCTAGCCCAGATATATACTACTTTATATTGTCTACCTTAATTTATTTCTTTCTCTTTTGGATAATGAGTCAATCAGGTTTACTTGTGTTTTGACTTCTATCAGTTTGGCTGCTTTGACGATGCTTATTGCTTATTTGGTGGGCATATCCACTCCTTTTAGAGATGACATACCTAAATAAACTTACACAATCATAAGGATAATATATGTATAACTGTAGAGATCATACTAAATAATTTTGCAGAACATTTGAACTACTTTACATTCCATTAATAACATGCATGTTCTAGTTTGTGCCACTTCCTTGACAATCCTTGATGTTGTCAACTGCTTCATATTAACCATTGTGATGACTATGTAGTGGTTTTAATTTATACTTCTCTAATAAGGAATAATGTTGACTTTCTTATGATTATTGGAAGGTGGCTATGCAGGACTTTTGCTCAGTTTTCAAATGGGTTATATTCATTTTTCATTGATTTTTAGCTGCATTTTGTTCATTTGCATCTATATATGTATATGTGTGTGTGTGTGTGTGTGTGTGAGAGAGAGAGAGAGAGAGAGAGAGAGAAAGAGAGAGAGGGAGAGAGAGATCTATCATCAGCCTATAATCCTAGCTACTCAGGATTACAGTCCCAGACCATACTGGGCAAAAAGTTCACTAGACCCTATCTTAACCAATGAAAAGCCAAGCATCCAGCTGTCATCCTAGCTATGTGAGAAACAACTAGGACCACAATCCAGAATGGCCTATATATAAGTGCTAGACTGTAGACAAAAAATAACTAAAGCAAAAAAGAGTTGGGTCCTTGGAGGCAAAGTGGTAGGACACTTGCCCAGCAAGTGCAAGCTCTGAGTTCAAACCCCAGTGCTGCCAAAAATAAAAACAAATTGTTTGTTTATTTATTCATCCATTCACTCATTCATTAATACCCAGGCTATGATCCTCTTACTTAGCTTCCAAAGTAGCTGGAATTGCAAACATGAGCCATGTGCCCAGCATGACTTGGATCATATTCACTCCTCCTGTCACCGCCAGTTCTCTTCTTTCCCCCCCTCTTGTTCCCATACTCTTCTCAAATACTCCCCCTTCTACTTTTAGGTTTTTTTTTAATTCTAGATCCCTCATGTGAGAAGAAGAAATCTAATATTCCTCTGAGTCTAGCTTATTTTGCTTGACATAAAGATTTCCAGTTCCAACCATTTTCCTGCACGTGGCATAATTTCATTCTTCTTTATTGCTAGTAACATTGTATGTGTATATTTATGTATATGTGTATGTATATAATCCCACATTCTTTATTCATGCATGTGTTTTATTTTACATTTTTGTAACATTTTAGCAAGAAAATTCATTTATATATTTTTAGTTTAGAACCAGTTCCTACCCTCTTCTATGTGTATTTAGCTCCATTAAGTGACAAGACAGAAGAGACTAATACTTAATGTTGGTGTTAGTAAAGCAAATATGTACCAAAATTAAGAACTTTAAAAAAACCCAACAACTATATGACAAAAAGATCTGTTACAATGGTTCCTGCTTCACAAGAAACAAAATAAATTTAGTCCTTGGGGATCAGTGAAAGACATTGTAGTTGAAACCCATTTCAGACATGTGGACTCCACTATCATAGCCCATCCTGCAGAAGCTGCAAGGGATGTGTTGCTTCCATCCCAGATATAGACCTAGGTGGAAAGTAATTGCAATACTACGAAGCAATAGAGGCAAGGATTTATTTTAGCATAACAGGATTAAAGCAGGGAGAAAAAGAAAAGAGAGAAACATTTCTTGCTCCCCTTACAGGAAATGGTAGTTAAAGACTCCCCTATTTGGTCTGGGAATGTGGCTTAGTGGTAAAGTGTTTGCCTAGCATGCATGTAGCCCTGGGTTCAATTCCTCAGTCCAAATACCAGAAAAAGCCAGAAGTGGCGCTGTGGCTCAAGTGGTAGAGCGCTAGCCTTAAGCAAAAAGAAGCTCAGGGAGAGTGCCCAGACCCTGAGTTCAAGTCCCAGGACTGGCCGGAAAAAAAAAAAAAAAAACCACTCCTCAATTTTACGTTTTGAATTTAAAAAAATGTCCAGTCCTTCAGAAATGCTGTCAGAGTTTACTGTGACACCCATATACTATTTTAAGTTAACTAATATTTCTCATGTTTGCTTTTTCTTCCTGATTTTTCCCCCTGGTCTATTAGCATGTTAGTTCGCCATATGGCATTGCTCCTAAAAGCTAAGCATATGTCTCTAAAATATAAAGGCTTTTTCCTTTGCCATCCAGCTAATACACTCGCTAAATTTGTCATTAATGCACATTATTATATCCTTAGTCATATTTTTCAGATCTCAATAATGTGCTTCATAGTATTTGATTTGGTTTGGGTTTGGATCTGGAATTTTATTAATAACAATCATCACTTGTCCAGGCATATTAGTGTGTGCTTATAATACCAACCACTCATAAGGCTGAGGCAGGGGGGATCATTTGAGCCAAGGAGTTCAGGACCAGCCTGAGATTCCATAGTAAAAAAGAGTCATGCATTTAGTGTTTAGTTGTAATATTAGTTCCTTTCATGTAGCATACCATGAATTCTGTTTAGTTGTAATGTTTCCTTAGTTCCTTTTAGGTAGAACTCTTTTTTAGGGTTTGGAAGCATGTCTCAGTTGGTAGACAATAGCCCGTGAGCAGAAGCATCAGGTATCAAGTTTGATTCTGTCTTAGACTAAAAAGGAAGGAAGGGAGGCAGAGAAGAAAGAACAGAATTCTTTCTTAACTTTAGACATTCATGTCAAATATTTATTTGTTTGCCGGTTGTAGGACTTGAACTCAGGTCCTGAGTGCTATCCCTGAGCTTTTTCATTCAAGTCTAGTGCTCTGCAACTTTGAGCCATAGCACCACTTCTCATTTTCTGGTGGTTAATTGGAGATAAAATTCTCATGGACTTTCCTTCCCAGGCTGGCTTCAAACCGTGATCCTCAGATCTCAGCCTCCTGAGTAGCTAGGGTCACAGGTGTAAGCCACTGGCACCCAGCCACATCAGATATTTTTTTTTTTTTGATCCAGTTGTGGGGCCTGAAGTCTGGGCCTGGGCACTGTCCCTCAGCTCTTCAGCTCAAGGCTAGCGCTCTACCACTTGAACCACAGCTCCACTTCTCGCTTTTTTTCTTTTTGCTTATGTGGTGCTGAGGAATTGAACCCAGGGCCTCAGGCATGCAAGGCAAGCATTGAGCCACCTTCCCAGCCCCAGATATTTTTAATATATATATATATATATGTATATGTACACATGTACATATATAGCACATTTTTTAACTACTTTTTATTAATCTACTGAGGGGCATCTGGGTTGGTTCCATATCTTAGCTATGGTAAATAATTGGCTGCCATTGTTTTTAAGAGTCAAGACTTATCTTTAATTCTCAACTTCACTCTCTCTGTGATACTTTTTTTTTTTTTGTCCGTCGTGGGGCTTGAACTCTGGGCCTGGGCGCTGTCCCTCAGCTCTTCAGCTCAAGGCTAGTGCTCTACCACTTGAGTCACAGCACCACTTCCGGTTTTCTGGTGTTTAATTGGAGATAAGAGTCTCACGGACTTTCCTGTCCAGCTGGCTTTGAACCGCAATGCTCAGATCTCAGCCTCCTGAATAGCTAAGATTACAGGCATGATCCACCGGTGCCCAGATCTCTTTGTGATACTTTTTTTTGTGTGAAAATACTGTACAGAGGGGGTACAATTACATGGGCAAGATGAGTACATTTCTTATCAAGCATTGTAGCCTCCTCCTTTGTTTCCCCTTCCCATCCTTTCCCATTTCCACCCCCACCCAGTCCTCCCCGCCCACACACCAAAGTTGTAAAGTTTGTTTTCAACATAGCGACTTGTACATCTCATTGTTGCAATGGGTCCACCTGTATCCCTATTTAAACGATTTGTTTTTCCCCTTCCCCTCCACAAATTATACCGACATCAAATACAGTGAAAGCAGGGGTTATAGCGTGGGGGAGGGACATACAAAGCAATCTTCGTGATACTTTTATTGGAACCTCTGTTACAGGAGGGCGCAAGCCCACTCCCCATATATGCTGATGCCTTAGAAGACTGACAGGACTCTGGGTACATAGTGTGTAATTGTATTACAGCAAAAGTTTGAAGAGTAGAATGTACAAAGGGAAAAAGAACATGGAGTCAAGTCCACTGAAAACCAAGCCCGAGGTTCCCAGGGTCCCCACGAGGGGGCCCCAGCGGATGGGCTCGGTTTCTCTGACCTGTGACTACGTGTGAAAAACGCCTGTTCCAGGCTCGAGAGCGACCCTGTGCACGGGGTTTTATCTGGCACGCCTGTGTGGACGCCCTTGGCTTGGCATGTGCAGTTTCCGCTTCCAAAATAGCAGGCGTTCTGCAGAAAGCATGCTGTTGCACGGCAGCTGCGGTGCTCAGGTCCGCTAAGGAAGGGAAAGGCATCCCAGAAGTCAGTGCTGCTTAGTCTTGCACGTGGTACCTCTCAGCGGTAGCAGGGTAGGCCTGTCAACTCTTGAACAATCAATCATCCTCGTAGGAAAAATTGTCGACGATCTGTAATAAGTCAGCAGAATCATCCCTAACGTAATCAATGTTTTCTTTTCCATAAAACTCTGAGAAATACTCAGTAATGAAGACAATAAGTAAAACAACTATTGTGCTTGACATCTTCAGAAAACTAAATAAAGCAAGACAGCTTTTAAGACTTTAATCTTGAAACATTTTCATTAAGGTCATAACAATGCTCATGAGTGTCGCTGGTAAGTAACATTTTTCTTTGGTTCATTTGTGTTCCTAGGTAGAGACAAAGACTGTGTGAAGGAATGACATGTCCCCCTTTGCTTGCAGCCTAAGAAGGTCGTCAGGGTGAAGCCCCGCCCGCCCGTGGCTCCGCGGCCGGCCAGCGGCTCCTCGGCGGCGGCGCGGCACCGGCTGCTGAGAGTCCTGCCACACATCGGGCAGCCCTGCCCGCCCTCCCCGTCGGCCGCGCCTCGGCCCGAGGCCTCCCGGAATGCAGGTGTGACAGCTCAGCCTTCCGCCGACAGACCCCCGCCGTCCGCGTCAGGCGCAGCGCCCCGTGGGGAGGAGCCCCGGGAGCGGGGGCCGCGCGCGCACCCCCGCGCCGAGTCCGCGCTGGTCCGGGAGGACTGCGTTCTCCACCTTGGGTCCTCCCTGCCCCGGCGGACAAAAGCCTTCTCGGGGACCCAGCCGCCGGGCAGCGACGGCGACTCCGCCTTGGCCCACGCTCCGGACCCGCGCGTGCCCACAGAGCCGATCCCCGCCGCGGGGCCCGGGACCGCACCCGCGGCCGGGGGCGCGGGCGAGCGCAGGGGCGGCCTGGACGGGGCCCGGAAGGCCAACGCCGAGGCCGCGCCCACCACTGGCGAAAGAGGGGCGCGAGCCCCGGAGGCGCTCGCAAACCCCTGCTCCAAGGCGGCCAGCGGCGAGCCCCGCAGCGCCCCGAGTCCCCACAAGAGCAGGCTCCTGTCGCCGCTGCGCTGCGCGGCCGCGGCCCCGCTGCACCCTGCACTGCTGAAGCCGCCGCGGCCGGCGGTCAAGGCCCCGCCGTGCGCTTCGCCATGCGCCCCGCCAACCGCGCGCCGCCCGCTGGACACGCGGGCCCCCGAGGCCGCCTTCCCGCGGACCGCGCGCCTCCGTGCCGTCAAGGTGGACTCCCCCGGCAAGAGGCCCGACGTGATCTCCAAAGGGGAAGCGCGCGACATCACGGAAATGGCCAACAAAGCCTCTAAAGAGCCCGTGGGCTGCGTCAATAACATTGGGTTTTTTGCTTCGCTCGCGCGGAGCGCCAGCAGAGACAGTGTGCAGAGCACGAGGGGCTCCAGCCGGCTGCGGCCCTCCGCCCTGGGGCTGGCCGCCAGCCTCCAGCACTTCCAGGAAGACAGCGCCAAGAAAAGCTCTCCCCAGAGCGAACCCGGGGAGGGTTTTCTAGTAAGTATTGTCCTTTCCATGCGCTTTTTCCCTCTTGCAGTGACAGCCTGTTTAAAGCTTGGTTTTTGTTTAATTCCTTAGATTGGATATTTTTGGCAAAGTTCTCCGGAAAAAAAACAATTAACTAGTTTGTAGGAACACTCATTCCCATCCCCCCTCATCCCTCCACCCCCCCATCCCTCCACCCCACCCCCCATCCCTCCACCCCACCCCCCATCCCTCCACCCCCGCCAGTTCTGGGCTTGATCTCAGGGCCTGGGCACTGTCCCTGAGCTTTTACTCAAGGCTAGCACTCTACCACTTGAGCCACAGCGCCACTTCTGGCTTTTCCTGTGTATGTGGTACTGAGGAATCGAACCCAGGGCTTCATACGTGCTAGGCAAGAACTCTACCACTAAACCACATTCTCAGCCTTAGAAATCTTTTTAATGAGTTTTATTTTATTCTATTTTATTTTGTGCTGGCACTGGAGGTTGGAGGTTGTCCCTTAGTTCAAGGGTGGTGTTCTACTACTTGAATCATGGCTCTGCTTCTGGCTTTTTTTGGCGGGGGGGGGGGGGGGGGGGTCAGTCCTGGGGCCTGAGCTCTGGGCCTAGGCACTATCCCTCAGCTCTTCAGTTCAAGGCTAGCACTCTACCACTTGAGCCACAGCGCCACTTCCAGCTTTTTCTGCTTATGTGGTACTGAGGAATTGAACCTAGGGCCTCATGTATGCAATGCAAGCACTCTACCACTGAGCCACCTTTCCAGCCCTGCTTCTGGCTTTTTTTTCTGGTTAATAGTAGATGAGAGTCTCACAAACATTCCTGCCCTCTTATCTCGATTCCTGAGTTGCTAGGATTACTCATGTGAGCTACCAGCACCTAGTTAATGATTGAATTTTATTAGTTATTTTTATTTTTATTTTTTTGCCTGAGGCTTGAACTCAGGGCCTGGGCACTGTCCCTGAGCTTCTTTTGCTCAAGACCAGCGCTCTACCACTTGAGCCACAGTGCCATTTTTTCTGTTTATGTGGTATTGAAGAATTGACCAGGGCTTGATGCATGCTAGGCAAGCAATCTACCACCAAGCCACATTCCCAGCCTAATTTTTTTTTTTGTCTGTCCTGGGGCTTGAACTCTGGGCCTGGGCGCTGTCCCTCAGCTCTTCAGCTCAAGGCTAGTGCCCTACCACTTGAGCCACAGAGCCACTTCCAGCTTTTTTCTGCTTCTGTGCTGCTGAAGAATCAAACCCAGGGTCTCATGCATGCAAGGCACGTACTACCACTGAGCCAACTTCCCAGCCCCCTGATTGAATTTTAAATGAGTTTGTCCTAAATTGAAAACTGTAATATGAAAAAGTTCATATGGTTTATCAGTTTGCTTTTATTTGTTTGAGATAGGGTCTCTTCTAGCCTCAAATGATGTAGCCCAGAATAGCCTTGAGCTCAAAACCTTCTGTCTTTGCCTCCTAATACTGAGATTTCCAATGTTCACTACCAGATCCAATGTTATCTTGTTTTTCTCACTATTTTTTTTACTTTCTTTTTTTTATTGTGAAAGTAATGTACAGAGGGGTTATAATTACATGAGCAAGATAGTGAGTACATTTCTTATCAAGCATTGTTGCCTCCTCCTTTGTTTCCTCTTCCCTCTCACTATTTTTACTAGTGCTTTTTTTCCCAAACTAATAACTCTGAGCCATCAAATTATACTGTTTTAACGATAATAATCAGGGGCTGGGAAGGTGGCTCAGTGGTAGAGCGCTTGCCTTGCATGCCTGAGGCCCTGGGTTCGATTCCTCAGCACCACATAAGCAAAAAGAAAAAAGCCGGAAGTGGCACTGTGGTTCAAGTGGTAGAGTGCTAGCCTTGAGCTGAAGAGCTGAGGGACAGCGCCCAGGCCCAGAGTTCAGAGTTCAGGCCCCACGACCGGACCCAAAAAAACAAAACAAAACAATAAAGATAATAATCACAGTGTTGCTGTAAGTATGAATCAGATTCCAAGTTAATTAATTTAAAAATAGATTAAATAACTTAAAATTGAAGCCTGACAATGTCTTCGTAATAAAATACAAATATTTCATGTTTGGTGATTTCCTCTATTCTCATTGACTCACCTCTGTAGGTGTTTTGTGTTTTAATTGTAGTCTGCCCGTGGTAGTGGAATGAATGGAAATAATGCAGCAGCAGGGAAAAGAGTCGGTAAGCTTCATATAATTTTTAAATAAATATAAGGCCAGTAATCACACCATTATCATTACTGTTGAATTTCCAAAGGTACGTGAGACAGTCATTCTGTAGTATGAACCAGGTAAATTCAATCCTTCAACTTTTTTCCTTCAGAAAGTGATTATATAAACAGACTATTGTTATCCGTTGTCTGAGAAAGAGGAATGGTCTCTATGAAAAGATAAGATTATTGAATAATTAGCATGTAGCTTTCAATGCCTGCTCTGCCCTCCTTGTGGCTATTCACTCTAGGTGGTCTGCTGGATGGTTCTGAGGCATTTCCCTAGAAAGATGTTCTTCTTGATTAAGAAGCATATTAAGGGTCCTTTTGGGATAAACTGGCTAATTAATTCTGGATAAAAGAGGAACTATCTCTAGAAGGAGTTCTTCCCATGGCAAAGGAAGAGGACTAGCTGCAGTGTTACCGTTCCCTCCTCACAGTGGCAGCACCTTCAAGCTGCTGGGCTTGATGATACAGTGAAGAAATTCATTCATTATATTCAGACTGTTTTCCTTCTTTCATGCTTTAATACCCAGACCAAGGATAAACAAAACTATTACCAAAGGTGTAGCCACAGAATTGAAAAAAAAACTTTATATACTATGATTGTCATATGAGTTTTGTGTTTTTAAAGACACTTGAAGATTGTTTTCTATTCCTTACCAAGAGGGTCAAGATGGTAAAGTCCTAATAGATCAACTTTTTTAAAAGTTCTTTTTAAAAAGTATTTTTGTTGGGCTGGGAAAGTGGCTCAGTGGTAGAGTGCTTGCCTTGCATGCATGAGGCCCTGGATTCGATTCCTCAGCACCACATATGCAAAAAGAAAAAAAGCCAGAAGTGGTGCTGTGGCTCAAGCAGTAGAGCACTAGCCTTGAGCTGAAGAGCTGAGGGACAGCGCCCAGGCCCAGAGTTCAGGCCCCATGACCGGACCCCCCCCCCCAAAAAAAAGTATTTTTGTTATCTTTAAGTAGTTGTACAAAGGGGTTACTATGCAGCATGTCAGTTTATCCTGGTCGTCGTTCTCCCTCATCTTCCCCATCCCCTCTATTTTGCTAGTTTCACAGGATTTACATTGAATATTATGAATCTAATTCCCCTCCCCTCCATTTCTCTCCTCATTCAATTTCTTCTTTGTATCTTAGTCTTGCTAAATAGCCCAGGCTGGACTTGAATTCACCATTTTCCTGGCTTAGCCTCTCAAGTATTGAGGTTACATACAAAGGCCACTTGCCTGGGCTTCTTACCTTTTTATTCTTGTGCCAGTTCTGGGGCTTGGACTCAGGGCCTGGGCACTGTCCCTGAGCTTCTTTTGCTCAAGGCTAGCACTCTACTACTTGTGCCACAGCATCACTTCCAGCTTTTTCTGAGTAGTTTATTGGAGATTTCATGGACTTCCCTGCCCAGGCTGGCTTCAAACCACAAACCTCAGATCTTGGCCTTCTAGGTAGGTAGGTTTACAGGCATGAGCCACCAGCACCCAGCTGCTTATCTATTTTCAAGTACAGTTCAGTAATATTAAATACATTCATAATTACTACACAACCATCAATTCTCCAAATGTTGGTGTAAAACAAGACTGATTTGTGCTTTTGCTTACAAGTAGTCCACATTTAGAATCATGTACCTGCATTAATCAAGGTGTTCTTTCTCAAAACAGGAGAATGCCCTCATCACCTCCCACCCGTGAAAGCCCCCCTTCAAACAAAGAAGAAGACAAAGCATTGTTTTCTTTGTGGAAAGAAAACAGGACTGGCTACTAGCTACGAATGCAGGCAGGTTGGCCAACTAGAGAAGCTGAGATACTTAGCAGCCCTCAGACTCATTCCTAAGTGGGTGGAGTAAAGAAAAGTAGAGAGTTCATAGTTTCCCAAAAGGAAAAACTGACCCTCAAGCTACTCATTAAACTAGGAGACTTAAGCCAATGGGAGAATGTACTTTTATCTAATGTTAAATAGAGTGGTTTGGGTTTGAATGTTGCCTAGAAGAGCCTCTCTTCCAAGATTCTATTTTATTGTGCCACACTAGGGCTTGAACTCAGGGCCTTGCGTTGCCTTAGCTCAGGGTTGGTGCTCTACCACTTGAGCCACACCTCCAGCCTGGCTTTGTGCTACTTATTTTGGAGATAGAATGTCATAGACTTCTGTTCAGGCTGGCTTTGAACCTCCATCCTCAGATCTCAGCTCTCTGCATAGCTAGGATTATAGGTAGCCACCAGCACCCAGCTCAAGATTCTCTTTTAAAGTGAAAAAGAAAAAAGACTATAGTGAAAGTTAATTTACTATACATTTTAGCAATAATAGGTTATAGTTACTTCAAAAGAGTTGAATACTATGTTTTTAAAGAATGAATTTTTCTTACCATAATTATGTCTTACATTACCACTTATTGTTATCTTCTAGGGGTGGTGTCTGCCCTGGGGTGAGGCAGACACTGAAAATGACTTTGCTTTTTAGAGTGGACTGTGTTCTAATGAATATCGCTTCCCTTGTTGCTAGAACCATTTTTCAAGTTCTCTCATTCATAGTATAGTTAGATTTTACATAATTTTTTTTTTTGTTTGGTCGTGGGGCTTGAACTCTGGGCCAAGGCACTGGGCCAAGGCTCTTCAGCTCAAGGCTAGCGCTCTACCACTTGGAGTCACAGCACCACTTCCAGTTTTCTGGTGGTTTATTGGAGATGAATCTCATGGACTTTCCTGCCTGGGCTGGCTTTGAACCTCGAGGCTCAGATCTCAGCCTCCTGAGTAGCTAGGATACAGGCGCGATCCACCAGTGCCCAACAGATTTTATATAATTTTTATGAGACTGAATTTCTCAAAAATTCATCAAGTATAGGAAGTACAGTGAACGTGTTTAACCAAGTTTCAGTTTGCGTGCTTTGTAAAGGACTCTTTCATACTGTATTCTTCGCATAAAATTAACTTATTCTTTTGGAGCGGGCTCTGTCTGTGCTTGTGAGTGGAAGGGAAATGTCAGCACTGACATTACTAAAGAGATGCAAGGGGCTCCTGTTGGACTGCCTAAAGTCAGGCTCTTCTAAAGAGATGAGCCTTTCACAGAAATGCCACTGTTCACATAAACTTTTTTTGTGCTTTAGATGTGGAAACAACTTCTGTGCATCTCATCGCTATGCAGAAACTCACGGCTGCACCTATGATTACAAGAGTGCAGGGAGGAAATACTTGCAGGAGGCAAATCCTGTGGTTAACGCACCAAAGCTTCCAAAAATCTAACTTTCCCCTGCACCCCACTGCTCTGCCCGAGGAATCGCATTATATTGACAGAAGACATGTTGCTTAGACTGCATTATTTTTGTTCGTCTCCAAAAGATTTGCCAAATAAGAGCATATAATGCATACTGTTGAAGAATGAGAGTGCTCCTGTATTTGATGTCTTTATTCTTTGGTAAATCAAAACTTTTTAAAGTAGTTTTAAAAGCTTTCCACTATAGCTTTGTTCTTACATGTCTGTGTTAAGTGTTTTATATTTGCTATTACAATTTTACTAGACATATCTTCAAAAGATGCACTTGAGGAAGCTGCTGTTGGCTGTGTAACCAAGCTCCCAGGCTGTACAGAAATGAGTGGTCGTGTAATGGCACTATACAAAGTGACCATATTTTGTCTGTATTTCTTTTTTTGAGGGGTTGGGGTAAGTAGGGGTATTTTAAAGATCCCATGTGTGAAAGTTTATGAGTTTACTGGCAAGTTCTTTTTATTTTCAAACTACTTTTTATAAAAAAGAACATTTGGTTTTCCAAATATCTATATATTTCTTCCATATTTAGATTAGCATTCAGATATGTATCCATTCTCTAAAACACATCATGTTGATTATAGTATATATTTATTAAAATACTACTTTTTAAAAGGTGGTTTTTTTATAAGACAATGTCCTACTTGTCATTAAATACAGGAACCACCTTTTTTTAAAAAAAGAAATGGCTACACTTGAAGCAAAATTTTACAGCTTGGCTTGTTTTTCTTATATATTGAGTGCTACTACCAGAAGAAATTCAAATAAATATTCAACTTGACTATGAGTTTATTTGATTATTTACAGTAAACTTTCTAAATATATTTTATAAAACTGTTAAATAAATTAGTCATATATTAAACTTGGGGAAAATGATTAGCAGTATAAAAGCATTCTCATCTCAGATGTAATAAATGGATCATCTAGACTTGTGGGCCAAGGCATACTGCCATAAATAATTCTCTAAATATGAATGCATATAGCAGGCTTGATATGTACTTTGTGTTCTCTGTTTTCTTCAGTATAAATAAGTACATAAATAGTCAGAGAGCAATAAGATGTTGGGTTTCATACACTTACCACATTCCTGTCTCTCAATTAGCCAGAAATAAAACCTCAGGCTAGTGGCAAGAAACAGTATATCAATCCAGCCATTAACCAGCCTTTTAGAACATAAAGAATAATTTAGCATAGAGAATAATTTAGGTGGTAAAAATCTGTAACCAATGATGACTTCAGATGAGCAAATCTCAATGCAGAAACACAAAAAATACTAAAAAAGAAAAAAAACAGGCAGTACAACATCTCAACAAGTCAATAATTACATAATAAACCATTTCAGTGATACTGAAGTCAGAGAAATCTCAAATACTCCACTCAAAAGAATGATAAGAATGGTCAATGAAATTAAGGCATAAATGTATAATATGGTTAACATGATGTATTTTCCAGAATGAATACATATTTGAACGCCAATCTGAATGTGGAAAAAATATACAAGTTAACTACATTGGAAAGTCAAACATTCATTTTTTTATACAACGTCGTTCAAAATGAAAATTCAAAGAGAATACAAATAACCAGATAAATGAATTTAAAGAAGATACAAATAATAAGTGAATAAGGAAGATAATGCAAGATAGATAAAATTCAACAAAGAAATCATGAAAACCTTGAAATTATGAAAATGAAAGGCTCAATAAATTAAAATGTAAAAACTCAGTTGAAAATCTTTCTAGTAGAGTTGATCAAATGAAGGACAATCAGGTTTACTGACATGTTGAGTGCAATACAAGAAGCAGATGAGAATAACCAGTATAAATGAAAAAGGAAAACATTTGGCATTCTATTAAAAGAATAAATCAATGATGACTCATCAACATAGAAAAAGTAGAAGGTGTATGATCTAAAGGCATAGTATATATAATAAAGTATCAGGACAAAATTTCCAAAATCTTGAGGTCATCCAGATACAGGAGACTTTTCGGGCTCCAAACACACAAGACCAGAATAGAAGTATACATACAAGCTTCAGGAGAGAAGTGTCAAGTTATATACAAAGGCAAATCTATCAAAGCAAATTTCACTACAGAAACTTTAAAAGGTGGAATTGAACGATACATTTTAAGCCCTGAAACTAAATGATTCCCAGCTTGGATTACTGTATGAGGCAAATTTATCCTTCATAATTGGAGAAATTAAAAAATATACAAAAGTTAATGGAATTCATGGCTACTAAGCAAACACTGCAGAAGACACCTAAAGGAATCTTAAACAGAAAAAAAAAAAACATGGTAATCTCTCTAGATGAGTAGATGAGGAGTAAGAAAGACCCTACAAAATAAAATAACAGGGCTTAATTAACTTTGCAGTAATAATTCTTAATTGTCTAGATTCTCTAATCAAAAGACTAGCTAGATGCTAGTGACTCACACCTGTAATTCTAGCTGCTCAGGAGGCTGAGATCTAGGGATTGTGGTTCAAAGCCAGCCAGGGCAGGAAAGCCTGTGAGACTCTTAGCTCCAATAAACTCAAAAGGCCAGAAGTGGAGCTGTGGCTCCAATGGTAGAGCACTAGCCCTGAGTACAAATGTTCAGGGACAGTGCTCAGGCCCTGAGTTCAGCCCTAGGAACACGCGCATGTGCACACACACACACACACAACACAGACTGACTGATTCACTTAAAAAAAAAAAAAAAACAGATGCAAACATGTGTTGCCTTTCAGAAATGGACTTTGACTGACCAAGCACAGCTTAAACTGAAAGGATGAAAGAAAATAAGCTCCTAAGCAAATGTTGCTACAAAGCAGCAGGGGTGTGTATACACACACCTGACAAAGCAGACTAAAAGTTATACTTAGAAGAGATAGAGATCACTACATATTGCAAAGGTAACAATGCATCAGGAGAATATAACAGTTGTGAACATGAGCATACTATCAGCACACTAATGAAGGAAATAATACTGGATGGAAAAAGTCATATCTGAACACATCAGTAGTTGGGGACTTCAGTGCCCAGCTCACCAATATAGATCAGACAAAACCATAACAAAATGTAAGAACTGACCCTATAGATCAAGTAGACTAAATAGAATATTTCACTCAGCAGCAGTTCATGGAATTTTCTCCAAATAGGTCATATATAAAACAAATACAAGGAGCTGGGAAGGTGGTTCAGTGGTAGAGTGCTTGCCTTGCATGCATGAGGCCCTGGGTTCTATTCCTCAGTACCAAATAAGCAGAAAAAGCCGGAAGTGGTGCTTTGTCTCAAATGATGGAGCACTAGCCTTGAGCTGAAGAGCTGAGGGATAGTGCCCAGGCCCAGAGTTCAGGCCCCAAATACAAGAAATATAACTAGAAGACCACAAGGGAATAAAAAGTACAAATCAGTGAGAGAAAGTAAAGTATTCAAACACATGGGGACTGAACAATTTACTTTGTATGTGTATGTGGGAAGTCCTGGGGTTTGAAGGTAGAGCCTGGATGCTATCTCTGAGCTGCTTTTGCCCAAGGCTAACCCTCTACTACTTGAGCCACAGCACCAGTTCTGGCATTTTCTGGGTAGTTTATTATAGGCTGGCTTTGAACCACAATCTTCAGATCTCAGCCTCCTGAGAAGCTAGAATTGCAGGCATGAGCCACCAGCAGCTGGCACAATTCACTTTTCATCAATGGACTAGTAAGGAAATAGGAGGGAACTTTTAAAAAAATCCTAGAATCACATGAAAATGAAAACACAACTCAGAATCTTTGGGACAGGACAAAAGGAGTGCTAAGAAGAAATTTTATAGCCATGAATGCCAGCATTAAAAATAAGCTGTAAGCCAGGTGCTAGTGGCTCATACCTATCCTACTGATTCAAGAGACTGAGTTGTGAGGTCACCATTCAAAGCAGACCAAGAAGATAAAACCATAAGACCGTTTTTCTTCAATTAACTAGAAAAAAAAAGCTGTAACTGGAGGCGTGGATTAAGTGCTAGAGTACCAGCTATGAGTGAAAAACCAAGCAGGAGCATGAGGTCCTGAGTTCAAGCCCCAGTAATCTCCGCCCCGCCCCCACATACATTTCGAATAACATAATGATCCTCCTCAAAAGTATCAAAGAATTTAGGAAACAGGCCAAACTCAAAAGCAGTAAATGAAAAGAAAATAAAGATTAGTGCAGAAATTAATGAAGACCAAAAGATGGATACAGTGATTCACTGAAAAGTTAGACCAGGTTGATAAACCTGCAGCCAAACTAACAAAATTAGATGGAGAGAAGACTCAAGTGAAATAGAGAAGAAAAAAAAAAATGTGATCTCAAAACAAATACCAATGAAGCCCAAAGGAAAAGCACTTTAACAAAAGACTGAAAAGACACAACAAAATTAGAGATAAGGGACATCACAACAGTGAAATTCAGAGGGTCATTATGGAATAATGTTGTCAGTTATGGGTCTTGAACTCTAGGCCTGGGCTCTGTCCCTCAGCTCTTCAGCTCAAGGCTAGTGCTCTACCACTTGAGCCACAGCACCACTTCTGGTTTTCTGGTGAGGTAAGAGTCTCACTGAAGGGGCTGGGAAGGTGGCTCAGTGGTAGAGCGCTCGCCTTGCATGCTTGAGGCCCTGGGTTCGATTCCTCAGCACCACATAAGCAGGAAAAAAAAAAGCAGAAGTGGCGCTGTGGCTCAAGTGGTAGAGTGCTAGCCTTGAGCTGAAGAGCTGAGGGACAGCACCCAGGCCCAGAGTTCAGGCCCCACGACCAGACCAAAAAAAAAAAAAAGAGTCTCATGGACTTTCTTGCCCGGGCTGGCTTTGAACCTTGATCCTCAGATCTCAGCCTCTTGAGTAACTAGAATTACAGGTGTGAGTCACCGGTGCCCAGCTTGAAACCTTATATTCTAATCAACTGGGAAGTCTAGAAGAAATGGATAATTTCTAGATAAATATGACCTGCTTAAATTTACCGAAGAGTATATAAACTAACCAGATCTATACTGAGTAATAAAGAGCCTCCTAACAAAGAAAAGCTACTAAATTCTCCTAGACCTTTAAAAGAGTAATGTTAACACTCCTGAAACTATTCAATAAAGCAAGAAGAAAAGAATACATCATACCCACAGACTCATTATTATCCTGATACAAAAGTGTGTAAGGGGCTGGGAAGGTGGCTCAGCGGTAGAGTGCTTGTCTTGCATGCATGAGGCCCTGGGTTCGATTCCTCAGCACCACATAAGCAAAAAGAAAAAAGCCGGAAGTGGTGCTGTGGCTCAAGTGGTAGAGCACTAGCCTTGAGCTGAAGAGCTGAGGGTCAGCGCCCAGGCCCAGAGTTCAGGCCCCACGACCGGACCAAAAAAAAAAAAAGTTTGTAAGTACAGAAGAAAAAAGAAAGTTAAGACCAATTCTCTTGATAAACACAGATGCAAATTTTCTCAAATACTTGCAAACAGAATTTAACAACCTATTAAAAAGGCCATAGAGGCCACCCTGGCTGATGCCTGCCTATAATCCTAGTTAGTTGGGATGTGGAGAACAGGAGAATTGTAGTTTCAGACCAGCCCAGGCAAAATGGAGATCTCCTCTCAAATAAAAAGATGCCCATGGTGTTTCACACAGGTGGTCCCAATTGTGCCACAAAGCCTTGTCAGTAGACTGTAGTCTAGACTAGCCCTGTGAAAAACTATAAAACTTGCCAAGATGGTAGCATGCCTCCATAGCAAGCATGAGACTTTTGAGCTCAAGCCCCAGTACTAAAAAACAAACATGATGCTCTATTATTAAGTTGATTTCACTTCAA